AAGGCTTAAGAGATTACTATAAGCTAATAACAACAGTTTATCATCTGCTTTCTTACTCATTTACGGCAAACTAGGACTTCTTCCCCTTCTTCCAGGTATCAGTTTCCCAAAGTATCAGTGTAGGAACAGGCGAAGCCAAGAGAACACTCAAATTACACATCTTCTTTCTTTTTTGATATAATGTACGCAGATAAAGGTTTACTATTAATTCAAATATAGGAAAATGAGAAATAATTTTCTTTGTTGAACTATTTACCACTTGGACTACTTCCTCTCTGGGAAGCTTTGGAGTACCTGCTATACTCACAGCTCCTTCTGGACAGGTTCCTTAAGCAGATCACCATGTTTTATATCAGAGAGGACGGATCCTGCTACCCTCATCGTACCTGACTGACCAGGACAAATATCTGACACTAGGGAAAAAAATCTAAAACTTATACAGCTGTCTCAGAGATAGCCAGAACTCCCCCCAAAAAGAGGGAGTTTGCCAGTAATGACAGGAGCATTATCTGTAATTAAACGCAAACAACAGTGGAGTCACTATAGTAGCTCACCACTAGTGCAGAGTATCATAGCACCGAAAAAGTAAACTGATACTGAAGATACATCAAAAACGCTACTAAATCCTGAAAGACCTTCTAGTTCCTGAATTCATCCTCACCTGCGTATCTGACTGTGGGATCAGTGAAACAAGTATCTTCCTTCCCTCTATAGTCTTTGTAAGGGGGTGGAAATGTATTATTCCTATTAAGGTAACATCACATTATTCCTTATTAAACATCACTACCACACTTGGGGGAGCAAAAAAAGAGACAAAAAGACCAGAATGAACAACTGGAGGGTAACTGTGAAAAACTAAATAATCCAGATCCTTTTTTCTCTGTACAAATCAGTAAGAGAACAGCCATCGTGCTGTGTAAACGAAAACAGAAGAACATCGCTAGAGAATGCGAGATCCCATAAGGTCCCATTGTGTAAACTGATGACTGGGCAAGTTACAGGAAGAACTGAAAATATAGGCCTTATGTTTGGTTTGTATAATCTGTGAATATTGAATCTCATCCCAGTCAACTGAAAAAGGTAGGAAAACTTGCCGAACGCCTATCAAAATCTCATAATCAGAATTACACAAGCTGAAACAAAATTCTAGAACTCAATGTTTAAACAAAGATCAGTTACTGGTATAACAAAACGTGTAAGATCGGAATAAAATTAGACACTCAGATTAAAAAAAACTTAATTTTAAATGAACACTGAGTGGCTAAGAATTTAAAATAATGATATAAGGACTAAAGCAGTCAAGTATGTTATGTTTTTTCCAAGAACTGAAAAGTGGCTCAAGGCCTTACCTTGAGAGCTAATAAGCAGCTGCTCATTTCTCACCCGGTTCTTCCTGAGCAGAAAAACGTGCGACTTAGGATAGCTTGGAAGGGAAGGGCAGTTGGGACGGATGTAAAAGCTTTTAAAGCGGAGATCTTTATACAAGAGAGTTAAACCAGACAAATACCTCGTTTTACACAAACAAGAATATTAATACTGAAATAGTATTTTCTCCTTTTTAACTTTCTTTCCAGTCTGGTTTTGTTCCTATTACAAATATTTATAATATCCTTTAAGAAAGTACTATTTTAACATACAAAAGGTCAAAGCAAAAAAATTCTCAACGTAGTAGATCTTCCTGACACTCTCAGCCCTGCCCCAAATATCCTATGTGAAACATCAAAGCAAAAAGGCCAAGCAGTCCTGGTCAAAGGGGGCCCCCTGCAAAACCCTAGGATTTCTTAGATACAATTTGAAAGGCACTCAAGCAAGAGTCCACGAAGCATTTAAAACAAAAAACAAAAAAAAAAAACTTGACATTGGCTTATGAGAAAATAAACGTGTTTTTCAATTACATTGCCACCACTTTTCCTTAAACATAAGCCAAAAAATAGACTAAAGATCTAGTCTGAGGGGGAAAAAAAACCCCATAGCATTCCTTCTTCACTACCAAACCAATCATTTAACAAGTTTCAGTGTTTGCAATTTAAACTTTACATCATCCATGAAATCTTTACGAATCAAGAGACACTTTTCTCTTAAAAAATACACAGACAAGATTAAGTATCTCCTCTCTGAAGAGGTTTTTTTCCATAGTGAAAGAGCTTGGAAAGTAAAAACTGTATGTGAAAGAATAACATACTTTTTTTATTTAAAGAAGAGACTTCGGTAATTCTGATCCAAACAAACCAAATGTAAAAAAACAGTAATAATAACTTTTAAAATAAGAATCAGTGAAATTAAAGAACTGGACATTTTATAATATTTAAGAAAATACTGCTAGAATTCCTTAGGCTTAATGATGACACTATGGCTGTTCCTGTGGTTGTTTTTTCCCCCCCCTCAATTATATACCTTTCAGATACCCGAAGGATTTGCACATGAAAGGATTTTGAGAGTTGCTTTAAAACATCCAGCAGGTGGATGAAACAGAACCAGTCATTTGACAACGGTTGAAGCTGGGTAATTGGTACATGAAGCTTTATTGAGCTCACTTCTGTTTCTTGTGAAGGCTGAAGGAAAAAAGCATCCTACCCACCAAAATATCCTGTCAAAAGCAGAGAGATTTTTTGTCCCACTAAATCACCCCAGAATTCTGCTTATTCTTTCTTATTTATCTGGTTTAGCAGTAAGTTCTACTCTTCAAACCAATTAACTTCTTCCAATAGACCTGTAACTGAACTACAAGACTCGCCTTGACGCCTTTTAATTCCATTCATCAGCTAGGCGAGGCTCAGGTGAGGAAACAATTCAGGATTCCAACTTACAACTAGTAATCTTATTTTAACCTCAAGACCGCACAGCTGTTTTGGGTCAAAGTGATGAGCTATCTATCGCAGGTGGTTGTTTCTGTCTTTCGAATTTATCTTCTCCCCGCCTAGCACTTGAACTAAGCTTGGTGAGTAGCATACAGAGGTGAAAAGTAACAGATGTTCCCTCCCAGGAAATAAACCCTTTCGATGAGAAGGGGGAAAGAACTCAATCGAATATGACACCCAGAAATGTTCCAATCTCGGGGTACGTAATTTACATATATCCTGAGACTCTCTCGCCCCAAAACTCTTTCAAATGGTTAGAGAAGAGCGACCCTGGTTGGTTTGTTTCATCTCCTCCTCCTTTCTTAGGGGAGGTGCTAGAGAGCAAAGAAATGACCAAAAGACAGGCCGGAAGAAGGAAAGCGAAATAGCATGGAGTCGGATAATCAGCTCTTAAGTAAATGAAAACTGTACCCAAATTAAAAGAAGTTACGAGGGAGTTGGCTGCTACACTGCTCCCGGTAACTCCAGCGTACCTGAGCGGCTGAGAGAGTGGGAAAACCTGGCTGTAGGAGCACCAGCTCCCAACTCCCTCTCTCTCCAAGATTCACAGACACAAAGACATAAAAGGAACTCTTCCCGACCCCCGCCAACAGTAGCGCCGCAAAAACAGCCCCCACCAGCCCGGGCCACGCTGGCCGAGCCGCCCTGGCCCCGTGGAGCCGCCCCAGCCCTTCCCCGTGGGGCCGCCAACCCCGAAGCCCGCCGCGCTCCTCAGGCCGGGGCCCCTTCTTCCGGGCCGGGCGAGGGGCAGCGAGAGGACCGAGTCTCGGCTGGGAACTCGCCCGCCACCGAGGCCCTTCGCGCCCGCCCGGAACTGGGGTCCTGGTACCGCGCCGCCCACTCCGGGCCCAGGCGGTGCCCCGCGAGGCCGGCCTCGGGCCTCGGACCCGGTCCACTCCGCGCCCGGGGGACCCGCGCGACCCCCCGAGCCGCGCCGGCCGCCGCCGGACGGACTCCGCCACTGGCTTACCTGTCTTCGCTCTTGTTTTTCTGCTCTTTCCCATGGTGTGTCAGCGGCGCTCGCGGCCCCAGCTCCTCTATTCGGTCTCTCACAGACCCACTGTCCGCCGGCCGACTTCGGTCTCCGTTCGGCTCCGTCCCCTCGCGTTACCGCCTCTCGCACCCGGCTCTCCACAGACCCGCGCACTGGGACAGGGCACATATGGTGTGAGGTTCGAGTGCGCAAGCGCATCGCCCCGCCGCCTCGGCGTGGGGACGCAGGGCGCGGCGCATCGAGAGCTGCGTCTCGGCTAGAGCGTCTCCAGTGGACTCACCCGCCCGGCAGGAGCCCGAGCGCCCCCTTCCCGCAAGCGCCCGCCACGCACCGACGCCGCGCGGTTTCCAGGTTCTAGAACCCGGAGGTGGACGGACAATGAGGCTGAAAATTCCCCCCGAGAACCCCCTCCCTGCGGGGAAACGCAAACGTAGGGAGTCGGAGCTCAGTCTCAAAGGCCGCCTTTGGGCTTCTCTTCCACCCTTCACCCTCTATACCTTTGTACTCTAAGCTACATGAGGTTCAGTAAAGAACCACAGTGAACCAGCGGTGAGCGGTCTGGGTGTTCCCAGCGGAGGTAGCTAAATCCGGGACAAAACTGGGTCCCTCAGTAAATTCCGTGAATTATGCGGTATGTACGGTTACAAAACAAACAAAAACCCTAAACAGGGACACTCCCATCCATTCCCCACAATCTTTACATTCAAAACGAGAGCAAGTTCTAAAACTTTGCGTTAGGGAAGTCACGAGGGAACCCGCTGGTGTTGTGTAAGTGCTCTGTATCCGGATCTGGACGATGATATGAGTGCTAACTGTGTAGAAACAAATCATGCTATATAAGTTACACTTCGAAGGGGAAAGTTCAAGAAACAGAATGGAAACGAAGTTGGGGCGTCACTCCCAAGCAAGATCGCAGCTATTTCATTTCTGATGTAACATTACGTGTACTGAGGCTCAGAGCCTAAGAAAGTTGACTCCAGGCTGAGCCCTAAGAAACTACAATGTCCAGCACACTTTGCTCCCTCGCCCTCTGGGCTGTTTACGCGGAGGGAGGGAAAGGATAGGGCACCTCGGCTTCCGGACGGCTGGGGCCGAGTGGGGATGAGAGCGCATGCGCAGAAGGCTCACCTCCGTCGCCCTCCCCCCTCCAACTTCCCGGGGAGTCGAGACTGTATCGCGTGAGGGTTGCAGCCAATGAGGAGGCGGAAGTGACGGCCGCTTCGGAGCCGCTCGCAGCCGCTGCGAGGGTGAAGCCAGAGTGGGTTGCTCTTTTGGAGGGGCTGTTTCCTCACTTCTCACTTATCACCGAGAGCTCAGGTGAGGCCGAAGGGGTGGTGTGAAAAAGCCGGCGGCGCGTCTCAGTGCTAGTGGACTCCCGGCTGGGGCGGGGGGGTGGGGCGCGGCTCGGACGCGGCTATCAGCGCGGCGGAGGCGGCTTTGGCGCATGCGCCCCGGCAGGCGTCGAAGTCGCTGGCCTCCCGGACTCCGCCTTCGTCTGTCCTCGGGGGCTCGGGCAGTGGCGGGGATGCTTTTGGGAAGTGACTGGTGTGCTGCTAAGGATGAGGGCCCATGGGTGTTCTGGCGGGTGCACGGTGGGGAATCAAGGAAATGGTTAAGTAATCTGAGGACAAGTTCCTGCTCACCATTCCGTTGAACTGAAAAAAAGCCTGTGGTTTGACGAATGAAGTTATCAGGATCGTTGCACCATCTCCTCTCCCCGTTTCTGCTTGCGGTCACCACCGCCACCACCACCTGCCCCCAGAACAGCTCTGATTAATCGCTTCTGCTTCTGGTTATCCCAGAATTAAATTCTGAGCTCAGCCCGTGAAACTTGAGGGAGAAGCCTCCGCTACGCCCCTTTAAGAACAGGTTCTGACGTGCAGCTCTATGTTTTAACATCCAGTTTTTTGCCTCATCTGGCCCCGATACGGAGCGTCACAGCCTTACGTTTTTCTTAGGAGGTAGGGAGTGTGAAATTCTCCATTTGAAATACAGCTCCTTTAAAATTTTGTAGTATTGATGAGGAACTTACATTTTGGTTTTTCAAACCCAGAAATCCTTTTGAAACTTAACAACAACGTGAACAAAAGCTAGGCACATGTTTCCTCAACCGTTGACAAATATTTTTTGAGCACCTGCTGTGTTCCAGGCACTGCTAGCTCCGGGAAAACAAAGATGAAATCAAGTACGCTTTTCAGCTCCTTTTCATATTAAAAAAAAAAAGAACTTGAAACGAAGTTTGCAAGACGACTCTTTCTCGACAGTTTAGCGTTTATAGAGGATCTGGTGGGACCAGGCAGTGTGTCAGAAGCTGGGTGAATGAGTTCACAAGTTTATTCCGATTTTTGAAAGTGCTTCAGTAGTAGTTCCAAATGTATTGTAGTAAGTTAATTGAGATGCAACAGCCTCTTTGTTTGATCGGCAAACTGTAAGTCGAATTTCTGTGATAATAACCCAGGGGTACACAGAAAATCGCCATCTGATTGTTGCTGTTGAAAAAAAATACATTTAAAATACGTATTTGAGATCGTCCTTTCTAATCTGAATTAGATTCTATTTTCAAACTCCTGTCTTATAGAGGAGTGATGGAATAATCAATATTCTTTGTAATATTTGGAGTGTTATAGTTTGACATCAAAGTTAAGAACCCTGAGTATCAGTAAGTCAATACCAGTATCAATTTTTGTGGCCTCATAGACGTTACTGGATAATGGAAGAACAGGAATGGAAACTAAAGCTTAAGAACACCAGTCAGAGTTCTTCACATATGTTGTGATGAGCTCTCTTTGGAGTTAAACGAAAATCATTTAGGCAGAGTTGAAGCAAAGTTTGGTATGTATATGTGCAGGTAAAACCTCACTACAGTTCAACATTATCATCGTTCCCAGTCATTACTGCTTTTCTTCTCTTTTCCTTTGGTAAAGAACACTGATTATTATCAGTATATAGCACTTAGTTTAACTTCAGCTACCCATTGATTTCTGGTCTGGTGATGGTCACAAAGACCTGTCTTTGCTTTAGGATAGTAAAACACTAAATCCGAAGCACCTATACTTGGGTCTAAATCGTTTTGGCGTAGCGTGACTATAACCTGTTGAAAATCAAATTCTGAAACATTTAAGTAAAAATCCGTAATATGAAGTGCTTGGTTGTCAGCAGAACACTTTGTATGCTACAAATTATATACTTGCTAGCATTTCTGGAAATAAGAGAAAACTTAAGCATCTTATTTTTTTCCTCTAACTTTGTAAACCTTCTCCCCAGCATCCAGGCTGAATTGTACTGTTTAGAAGAATGGAGGCGACTGCATCTGTTGACATGTTTTCCAAAGTCCTGGAGAATCAGTTGCTTCAGACTACCAAACTAGTGGAAGAACACTTGGATTCGGAAATTCAGAAACTGGACCAGATGGATGAGGATGAATTGGAACGCCTCAAAGAAAAGAGACTTGAGGCACTAAGGAAAGCTCAACAGCAGAAACAAGTAACCTCTCTGCCCTGCTTTCTGAAATTGCCATAACAGTATGCTTCTAACAACTTATATATAACCGTGCTGCAGTAGCTACATTTCAGCCCTCAGTTTTTAGGTTTTTTTGACCTCAAAGTACCTAATGCTATTAAAAATTTCTCCAGAAGGGGAAAAAAACCCAAAAAATTAAGTTTTAAAGACATGTTCAGAATTAGCCTGACCAGTATATCCATCCATCATCAAGTGAAAGAAACACATGCCCAGGATAATTTTCTGAGCTCAGACTTGTGTGGTTGAGGACAGTGAACTGGGAAGAGCACTAGAGTGGTAGGAGTCAGTGGTTTCTCTTTCAGGTGGAGTTATGAGAAAGCCAATCATAATTTGGCCGTGCTCAAAGCAAACAAGATAAGACCTGTAAGGCAATTTTCTTTTTGAAAAAATTATTTCAGACATTTCCCATGTAACATTTAATCTTGTGGCTTATCTCTTCAAAAGAATGCATCTGGGTCATAAAGAAAGGCGGCCACAGCTTTGTCCTTGTCAGCCACTTAAACTGAGAGCATGGAACAAACTCGTAGTTGACAGGCTCTGATCAAAATCCATTGGGTTAAATTCTGTCAGTTGAATTTTGATGTTAAAAAATGGCTCCATTGGTATAAGTTACATTGAAAGACATTATCACCAACTCTGGTTCCTCTTCAGCTGGCTGTGATGAACACGTGAGCTTTTACTTCTCCTAAGAGACGGAGTTTTGTTTGTACTGCTTTATCGCATGTGTTTGACAGTGTTTATACCCTCACTGTTTGGAAGAATTGCTACAAAAAGGAAAGACTTCCATAACGCGACTGAGTTCCAATTTTTATATTTTGAGTTTTCTAAAATTGTATGTGTGTGTTTATACACACCTGTATACACACATTATATCTAGTTTTGAAACCAGGCTACTTCTCTTAATACTAATAATGATTTAAGGTTATATATTATGAGATTCTGCTACAAACTTGTATTTCACGATTACAGTTAGTATACTAATTGCTAATGCTCAACTGAAAATTGTCATAACTAGGATTTTTTTTGTAGAATGACTATGAGTCTATCTGATTTGCAGTGAAGGGCATACATTAATGTCTTAAATGAATTTGTGAGCAGTTAAAAACAATAGTCTGAATATTTATATTAAAAACCAAAGAGGGGAGGGTATAGCTCAGTTGGTGGAGTGCCTGCTTGGCATGCACGGTCCTGGGTTCAATCCCTGGTACCTCCATTTAAAAAAAAATTAAAAATAAATAAACCTAATTGCCTTCCCCCTCTCTCCTCCCCCGTAAAAGAGCTTAAAAAATAAAAACCAACTGAGGCAGGCAGGCTATAGGGCTTTTTAAAGTTAATACACAAGCCATTTTAACGTAAATTTGTCATAAAGTTACTCAGAGGGTCTTGTTTTACAGCTCCTATTGCATTTTAGTAGGTCTTTTTTTATTAACATCTTTTCTGAGGAAGTAGGCAAGAAGTTTTCATGGTTTTTATAAGTATTCTTTTTGAAAGAGCAGTACAGATTGCATAGTAATTTTGATTTGATTGCGTAGTAAACTTGACCCACGTGAGTACAAGGGAAGTCAGTGTGTACAGTGATGTGAGCACTTAATAGGCCTGTGCTAATCAGTATTCCTCAGCTGGCCACACACCTTTCTACTGTTACGGCAGCTGGAGACGTAGGACTTAGATGGGAGAGAAAGACAAGAGAAGCAGGAAGAGCCTGCTGGAGGCCTGGGGGAGAGCTAGGTGCTGCCCAGCTGCCTGGCCCTGGAGGGAGGCTGCACTGTGATCGCATCCAGCAGATCCCTGTGGGCACACGCTGTGTGAAAGGAACTAAGTGCGGGACTGGGAAGAGACGTGTGCGTTGATGGAGGTTCAGACTGGGCTTGCCTCCCTCTAAGGAACCTGGGCAGGTTTGGATCTTCAGCCTTTCGGTTAAATACTTGAGAACAAATAATGAAAAGAAATATCATTTTGGAAAAAACACTCTTTTAGGGCACATGTCATTGGTGAGGCAAGGAAAGAATCATGAAATGTCACATCATTAAGGGGTCATCCTTGAGAGTTTAAACTGTTTATAGAAGCTTTACCAAGGAAATAAGGAAAGATCAGGGCCTCCTGTAAGGGTCAGCTTGGTGTAAGCCAGTGTAGATAGACAGCAAAACAAGGAATGCAGTCTGGGCTGTGCTAGCGTTAAATCCAGGAGAAGAAAGGAGATGGCACTCCTGGCCCGCTGTAGTGGGATGACTTCTGGAGGGCTGCGTTCAGACTTCTGCCACGTGGATTCAGGAGGGCGTGGAGGAATGAGGCTGTGCAAGGATGCAGCCAGAAGAGTAAGAAATCTCGAAGTCATTTCACACGAGAAAGTCAAAAGCGCATGTTCAGTGTGAAGGGAGGACGTAGGCGACATAGGATATTTGAAGGGCTGACAGTTGAAAGAGACATTAGAACTTCTCTCTCTGATCTTAGGTCCACGCTGGGCTCCACAGACCAACGTTACGGACATATTACAGGCAGTGTGAGGAGACCTCTGTCACCCCTAGGAACAGCCGGGTACACGGACAGATGCTCTTGCAGCACGTGCGCCAGACACCGCCGTGGTTATTTTCATGTTGACTCTTTTCACTGTAATCAATGAGGTAGATGCTTTATGGTCTCCACTTTACAAATGAGAGTGAGACTCCGGTTATTAGGATTCATAGCCTAACAAGTGGTAGAGCGACTATTCAAGCCCAGCCCTTCTGCTTCCAAGTCCGGGGCTCCTTTTTATTAAAACCAGCTCCTGAGAAAGGAAATGAGCCACCAGTTGAGGTGACTAGCTTCCCGTCACAGGAACAGTTAAAGAAACCAAAATGTCTGTCATGTGGATGATAAGAGTTGTTGTATTGATTGGGAAAGTTGGATTCAATGACTTAAGGGTTCTTTGTTCCTGGACACCACGTAGGGAGACACCTTTTTCTTCCCAAGATACTACCCACTGGTAGCCAGTGTAGACGTTCCTGCCTCTCTGAGTCATCAACAGCAAACAGGGCTCCTGAGCTTCAGGCTGCAGTAACTCCCAACCCCACACCCCTCCCCCAAGGACCCATGGGGTTTATCTCATGAGCATTATTTTTAAAGCTTCATAGTAACTTCGAACAAATACTTCTGATTTTAGTAGGTCAGGTGCAAAGAAATTAAATAGATGTTGACATTCTAAATCTATCAAGTTAAATTTTTATTTTCAAAGTTCTAAGAGAACTTCTGTTTCAAGTTACCAAGACAGAGAATTGTCTTAAATACGAGCCATGCTGTGGAGGTAGTCATTGCCCACAGACTATCTTTGCATTGACACTAGAAATACAGGAAAGTAAATCACTAAAAGCAATTCATTTCTAAGATAAAATCCATTTGATTACAAAATATTATAGTGATTTGGACACAGAATGTAAAGTGATCTTGAAAGAGATATTTCAAATGTGTAATATTTCCCTTTCCTCCAATTAGGAATGGCTTTCGAAAGGACATGGGGAGTACAGAGAAATCCCTAGTGAGAGAGACTTTTTTCAAGAAGTCAAGGAGAGTAAAAAAGTGGTTTGCCATTTCTACAGAGACTCCACATTCAGGTAACTTTTTTTCCTTCAGTGACTGGTTTTGAATAAGGTGAGATTGTTGAATAGAGATATATACTGACTTGAGAGACATGAAGAAAAATATAAAAGGAACTCCTACTTTCTGAGTTGTTTCTTTATACTAGAAGTATGTATATTAAAGTTAAGCAATTATTAAAGGTTAACTTTCCAGTGACATACAAAAATATAAAGAATTGAAAATCAGTGTTTCCATAGAAATGGCTGTTTTTTCTGAATAATATTTTAGCTAATTTAAAAAATGTCTTAGACATATGCACTTAAATTTTTTATCAATGCAACAAGGAATCTACTTTTGTCCCTGCTGTATGGTCCAGCCACAGTACTGGGGATGGGGCCAACAACCTGAACACCAGCTCCAAATTCGGTCACTTCTTAACTAGCAGTTCACAAGGAGACAGCGGTTTGACCAAGCCTTTCACCAGAAGCACAGTTGGGACTGCCAGGATTGGCTTAGAAGGAGAAGAAAGTGATTTCTCTGAGACCAACCCAGGTCTGCAAGCCTCTCGTTGGAGGCAGATCCCTCATAAAGTGAAAATGACCCAGAAGAGGTCATATCTTAAACCAGAGGACTCAAGCCTTTTTTTTAAGCCCTCAAATTTGATTAGTTGTCAACATTTTTAAAATGTTTAATGTTGGCAACAAATCAAATTTCAGGATTTTTTTTTTAATCAGGTAACTTGATAACTAGAATTGTATGAAAGCAGTTTGCTGATGCCAAGTGGTACCTGTCTCCGCAGGCGCCCGCCAGTGCATACCCTCGGTTACTCACTGTTGTCTCAGTCCTACCCTCCTCTGGTTCCCTTAGCCAGCCTGGCCTTTATCTTTATCACCCAACAACTTGGTTACTGATTAACACCTTCCGGGGATTGATTGCCTGGGATTTATTGACTAAGAATATAAAATCGAAAGAAAATACTGAGATGGTGAAATCTCCCAGAAGGGAGAATGGGAAAGCGATTAGGAAGGTAAAAGGGCATCAGGGAAACCCTCTGCCATTTACACGATCACCTCCCACTGCTGCACATTCTTTAAGGTGCCAGCCTCAGACACACAGGACGAGGTGACGAGACATCAGTATAAGGTGGATAGTATTTGTTGACCTGTTAGATGTCTTTGCCCACTCACTAGATTATTAGTTCTGTGAAGGTAGAGAGTCTGCCTGTGTTGTGGCACACTGTGTTCCAGGTTCCCAGCCACAGAGCAGCACTGACCTCACATAGGAGGTGCTCGGTAAATCATTTGATGGATGTAGAAACAGTGCAGCTCCAGGGGTACTTACCCTACAACAAAACTGAAAAATCAAGAGTTAAATGAGTTTATACATGCAGATAGATATGAGTTTCTAGCACATAGCAGGCTAGAGCATTCATAATCACCCTTTGGGGTAAGTAGGTATAATTCCTGTGCTTCGTGCATGGACAGCAGGACTTGGCGAGGTTAGGTGACTTACCTAGTGTCATTCAGCTGCTAAATGATAAAAGAGAACTGGAATCCAGGTTTTAAGCCTAATGTTTTAACTACACTCTGATTGCTTTTTCTGGATTTTTAAAAAATGGATTAATTGACAAATGGGACACAGATCTGCTTAAAGTAGATTCCGTTCTTACTCCATTAAAACCATGGAGGTGACTTATTACAGATCTTCCAGAATGTATATTCTTATGTAATGGTTTATCATTGTTTGGAGCTTAAATCAAAAATCATTTATTAATTTGTTCTCTCCTATCATTTTTCGCTAAAACTAATTGCCACACTACATGGGTAATACATAAAAAGAATCACTTAGGAAAAGTAAGGAGGCATCAAGGTTATAAGAAACTCTCTGTACCCAAATCTAATTCAAGAAAAGCTATACCAAGAAGTACCCGAAAAGCCTGCTAGTAAAATCAGCTATGAAGCATTTGGTGTCTTGGTCATCGGAAAGAGTAGTTCTCAAACTTTATTGGGCATGAGAATCACTGGCATGTTTCTCAGCTCCCAGAGAATTTTGATTTATCTGTATATTTTAAAAATTGATTGTAATCATTACTTCTGGTTAAGAGCTACTGCTCAAAAGGATCATTACAGTAGCCTTGTCAACCCAGTGTTTCTGGGTTGTTTGTGAAGCAATTTAAAATATAATTTAAAGAAAGTGTCACTTTCCATTTTCCCTTTCAGGTGGCTTAATAAAGGTTACTGCTGGCATTTTTCATTTCTTTAGAACCATAATGACCATATTTGTAGCCCTTAACCTTAATATGCTTCTCACTGACAGAGTTGCACAGATAGAAGTGTACCTTCTCGGTGGTACCTTCAGTCTTTCTTAGTGACTTCCAAGTATGCCACCAGATGTACATTTCTGATTCTGAGAAGTGTCTCTTCTGAGTTCTGTCAAGTTCAGATTTGTCACCTTGTATGAGATGCCAGGGAGCATGCATAAGAGAGGTGACAACTTTTTTATTATTAACCATGAACATGACAACTTTGTGAACCACTTAAGACTTAAGGCATACGTTGAATACTTTGTTTTTTTTACAAATATCATTTAGGCAAATCTGAGTTCCTTAGAGTACTAGATTATAAGAGGTAGAAAACCAGGCAGCTGATCTATGACATAGAAGTGAGGTTACCTGACACAGGCAGAGGCTGGCTGCCGAATTCTGAGATCCAGAAAAATTTAAAAAATTAGGTGTGCCGTAATGATACTTACTTTGGAAAAGAAAAGAAGTCTGCCATTTGAGGCTTTGACTTTTCATGTGTTGTTGTTTACAGGTGTAAAATACTAGACAGGCATTTGGTGATCTTGTCCAAGAAGCACCTTGAGACCAAATTTTTGAAGCTGAATGTGGAAAAAGCACCTTTCCTTTGTGAGAGACTGCGTATCAAAGTCATTCCCACACTAGCACTGGTAAAAGATGGAAAAACACAAGATTTTGTTGTTGGATTTTCTGACCTAGGAAATACAGACGACTTCAGCACAGAAACTTTAGAATGGAGACTGGGTTGTTCTGACATTCTCAATTACAGGTAACTTTTAGCAAACTATCAATTTATTTTAATTCACATACTTAGTTATATTTTTAGAGAATGTTTTAATGTTAACATATATTTTATGTTTAATGTTAACATATATTTTATGGAACTAAGACTTTAGCTGAGATGGGAAAAGAACTTTACCAAGGGAAAGCTTATTTCTTAAAAGTGTCCATTAGCATCGTCTTACAGCAGAATCAGAGTTATCACCCATATTCCTCAGTTTTAAACATTTTATATTTGCTTTTTCATTGTCTTTCTAGATACATAAAAAATTTTTTTCAGAACCATTTGATCGGATGTGGTAGATGTATTGTCCCTTTCCTCCTAAATATTTCTGTGTGCATTTCCTAAGAACAAAGACATTCTTATACAACCACAGTACAGTTGTTAAAACAGGAAATACATAATTTACAGACTTCATTCAAATTCTACCATCGTCCCAATAACCTCTTCCATACTGAAAAAATGGGTTGCATATCCTTGGTATGTGTTTTTAGTTTCATTAACCTGTAGCAACTTGTTACCTTCCTTTGTTTTTCAATACTCTAACATTTTGGAAGAGTACAAGCTAGCTATTTTGTAGAGCATCCCCCAGTTTGTGTTCGTCTAATGTTTCAAAATTAGATTCAGATTATACACTTTTCCCACGGGTGTAATCCGAAAGTGGTGGTGTATTCTGCCTTCTCGGTACATCGTATCGGGGGTAGATGATGGTTTGCCTCATTTCTGGTGGTGATAACTGGTTAACCCGTGCTCAGTTGTCTACCGAGCCAACTGGGGATTTAAGGAAGAACTTCTCCACACCCCACATTAACTTACTTTTTCATTTATTTCTATTAGAATGAATGGGCTGTGGATTATTTTATTCAGTGGGCTGTAGTCTGTTACTGTTATTATTTACTTTGAAGTTCACATCGCCTCAGATTTGGCCAGTGAGAACCCCTCTCACACTGTCTTCTGTGTCCTTCTGACGTGTCCCCATAAACCTTTGAGCACTTTCTTTCTGGCGCAGACGAGATCCTTTCGGGGCCTCGTGTTGTGCTCTCCATAGGAACTGGCTGTTTCTCTCGGAAGCCATGGTTTCTTTCAGTGGCAAGTGGTATCTCAAAACCAAGACCTAGATGCTCGGAATATTTCCAGGTATTTTTGAAATAGTTGTCAGGCATCATTGAAAAGAGATTCATACTAACTCTTGGTTAATGATGATGAATTCCATGGGTTTGTTGGTATCTATAGAGACCGAAACATTCAAAGATGTTAAACAGGAGCAAACGAATCATAACAGGCTATCAGAACTAGAGCCTGACTTCTCTGCCATTCTCACAGTCAACAAGAATCTAATACGGGTTCAGCATATCCAAAATGGATGAAATTCCTTCTGTGCTTTTCAGTCAGAAATTCAGTTGGTGCATCCTGTGAAATGTTAACTAGTAATTAATGGTAAGGAAAGGAAACATTAATCTAAAGCATTTAGTAATACAAAATAAGGTTTAAAACTGTTAATCATCAGCATGAATAATGTACCTCTTCCTTGACACTGACATTTTAAAGAAAATTATACTCCGTTCCACATGTTACAGTGAGGAAAGATAGATTTTTAATGCAGTTTGGTGTACCAGCTGTACTGAATCATAAAGAATAAATGCTTTTCAAATTTGCTTTGTTTTTAGTGGAAATTTAATGGAGCCACCATTTCAGAGCCAAAAGAAATTTGGAACAAACTTCACAAAGCTGGAAAAGAAAACTATTCGAGGAAAGAAATATGATTCAGACTCTGATGATGATTAGAGAGCAGTTATAATCCTTTGTAAATCGTCTTTTTATTTCTGCTTTCTTCACAATTAGATGTGTTTTCTAAATTCTGTTGATTTCAATACATTGATCTTCTGACGGTCACATTCTAGAGTTTTATGCAGTTGCATCACATTGAAAGACGTCTTTAATCTTTTCTGTGTAGCAGCTCATGTTTAAATTGAGGAAAACTTCTGAGTTCGAAAATTACTGGGGGAGGGTCTGGATTCTCTATTTTTGAGATTGGTTTTATCACAGTATGATTCTTACGTTTTTATACCATTCACAATTGTGTTTTTAACGTACTGGATTGGAAATAGAAATTCAGCAGACTATTCCAGGACTAATTCTTAATCAGCATTATTTACTTTCCACAAGAGGTTAAGTAACATTTCCTGGTGTGAACAGACTGCACTTGTAAATGAATTAGAAACACTCCTTACTTCTGGAATATATTTAAATAACTATTAAAAAGGGTTTATTTATTCTGTACTCTGCATGTTGTTGTTGAATCAGCTGATAGAAGCAGATAGCTTTTTCAGGTTGTGAACATATTGCCTTATTTAAAGCGTTCTGATCGCTTGTATTTTAAGACATGTATTAAATAATCAAGAAGGCCTTTTGAAATGGCAATAAGAGGAGATCTATAGACCCCCCCAGTGAAACAACTATAATTGGTAAATATTGTTTTTTTAATTAAAGTCTCTAGAAATTGTCATAAGAGCATACAGCAAACAAAAACATTTATCCAAAGAATAGTGAGTCTGTGTGGCATTTGAGTCATGTTCCTGCCCCCTTCCTCCCCTCCAGCTCCCAATCTTGGCCTTCAGTTTATCCCCTGGAGGAGCAGACTAGTAGCATCTCTCATTCCCCCAAGCTCTGTGTTGCAGAAGCTCTGTTCTAAGTAACAGTAGTAAAGAAGTCTGGAGCTTCCTTCCTCCACCCAGTCCCCACTTGTAGCACAGAATACATACCCCAGGAAAGGCAGACCAAGGATACTGTCTTCTAATCACTGCTGCCCCAGCTTACTCATAACTAGAGCAGTGGTGATTAGGGTGGAGGGTCCATGCAAGGAGAGGCAGGCAGAGAAGACCACCTGCTGCCCTACTGATAGGCCGCAAAGTGCTAGAAGAAAAGGCTCCTAGAAATGCAGGCTGCCCTCCCCCTCCCCAGCTCTGGGGCAGTAGCACAAGGTTCTGTCCAGTGAGAGATGTAAGCTGTAAAAACAGCTTCCAGAGCATTCCCTAAAGGGACTGACTTTATTTAGAATAGAGGGAGAGAAGTTGAAGCCTAAGGGTGCTGCTGTAAACATGGGAGATTTGAAGAGGGGTCAGGGGAGAGAAGAGGAGACTGGTGTTGCCATGACAGCAACAAGTCAAAGGGAAGACCAGTGAGAAGTTGCGTACGATAGAACGAAAGGGGCAGCCCAGAGCAGTCCTAGGGTAACAAGCCTCAAAGGCTACAAGAACCTGAATTTAATTGGCTCAAACCGTGGCAATGTATGTCCCAGGGCATTGTCAAATAATAGAGGGGTCCACTGGCAGTGGGTGTTGATAGCAGGACATGGTAACAGAGGCAGAACAATTGTAGAATTCCTACAAGGAGCTCAGGGAAAGAGAGGGAGAGCCCTCCTAACGCTGCTGTCCTCGGGCGAGGGGCGGAGTCAGGGCAGCTGCGTCACATCCAGGCTGCACACTCTGCAGAGGAATATCAGGGTAATTCAGGGTAAGTGGATCTAACCGAAATGGTCCAGCTGAGGCACTAAACAAGCAAGCAGGCCCTTGAGGAGAAGGGAGTATGGGTCTCCAGAACTGCTGTATTATCTAAAATACCCAGTTTTGAACAACAACAAAAGTTAGAAGATCTGCAAAGAAACAGGAAAGTGTGACTGGGCGGGAGGGGAGCAATCCAAAAAAGTGCCTTTGAATGGGCCCAGATGTTAGAAGACACAACATCTCTAAGTAGCTAGTACATACATTTTTAAATACTAAAACCATGCTGGAGGTAAAGGAAGGTATAGTATTCCATCAGATAAATAATAGTAATACAGATAGAAATTATTTTTAAAGAGTTGAATGGAGATCTCTGGACTTAGAAAGGTACAGTAATTGCAATGAAAGATTCGTTAGAGGGACTCACTGGTGGCTTTCACTTGCAATAGAAAGAATCAGAAAATGAGGATATTAATTGCTATAGATAATGCCATCAGAAGGACAGGAGGGGAAAGGGAAGAAAAATAAGCAGCTTCAGAGAAATAGGGAACATCAACATATATGTAATGGCAGTGCCAGAAGGAGAGGAGGAAGAAGTCAGTGGAAAGATTACTAGAAGAAACAATGCCTAAAAATCCCAAATTTGATGGAAAAAAATCAATCCAAGAAGTTCAGCAGATTCTTAAAGTAAAATGATCCACAACCAGACATGTCAGAATAAAAATGTTGAAAGAGAAAAATCTTGGGAAAAAAAGGAAAATCACTCATCATGCACAAGAAACTCCATTAGGATTAACAATTGTCTCATCAGAAACAGTGAGGACCTAAGGCAGTGGAATGACATACAAAGTGCTGAGTAAAGAAGAAGCTCAACCAAGCATCTTACAACAAAACTATCTTTCAGAAATGAAGGCAAAATGACACATTTGGATTTTAATGTACAAGAAATGCTAAACTAAGTTTTCTGTCTAAAAGGTAGTGAGACCACACAATAATTCAAATCTGAACGAAAAACGATGCCAATAAAGGTAATTATATAAGCAATTACAAAAGACATTGCAATGATCTATTTTCCCCTCTTTCAGCTGACTTAAAAGCAATTCTGTAAAACAATATTTATATAATTGTATTGTACCTATGACATATAGAAATGTCTGTGACTACAACACCATAAAGCAGGTGGGAGCAAATATTTCATATTTAAATAAACCACATAAAGAAGGATAAGCAATTGTAAATTTAAAGGTTAATATAAAAATCTAAATATTTATGTTCATTCAACTATTTTAAACAAAAATAACTTTTAAAAAAGTATTATATGCTTAACATATAGCGATGCAATATGTATAAAAAGGGGAAAGGGGTTAGAGCTTTATAGGGGTACATTTCACCAGAATTAAATTGCTATAAAGCTAAAGCAGATACTGACAAGATGTATATTGCAGATCCTGGAGTATTCACTAAGAAAATAATTCCCAAAATATACAAAGAAAATGAAAGAAATTAAAATATTACACTAGAAAATTTTTACTTGAGAAAGAAACCACAAAAAGAACAAAGGAACAAAGAAGATACATACAGAAAACAAAAGCTGAAATGACATACTCTTCACATGGTCGGGTTTATGTAACACTACATGTGAGCAGTTAAACAATCATTAGGTAAATATTGTCAGGCTGAATTACAAAAACAAGATTCAACTATAGTCTATCCACAAGACACACTTTAGAATCAAAGGTAAAAGTACAATGAAAAAGCTGTGCCGTGCAAACGCCAATCATCCGAGAGCTGGAGTGGCTAAATTAATGGACCAAATAGAAAATTGACACAAAAATCAATTGAAAACAAAGACTTACTACAGATAAAGGGGGTAGTTTTATGATAGAAGAGAATTCGAGAAGTTGTAACAATTGTAAACATCTCTACACCTCACAATGGAGCCCATAAATTTTGATAATTCTGTATTTTGCTATAAGAACTCTGAAGCAGAACTTGACAGAACTGAGGAAGAAATAGACAATTCTGCAATAAAAGTCTGAGACATGACCCATCACCCACCTTTAAATAATGAATAGGAAAAACAAGGGAGAAAACCCACAAAGAAATAAAAGACTTGAACAGCAAAGCAAATCAACTACACTTAACACTTCTATAGAACATTCACACCATAGCACAATCCATGGAAAATTCTCCAATATAAACCATGTGCCAGGTAATAAACAAGCTTCAGTAAGTTGAAAAATATTAAAGTCATAAAAGGCATGTTCTCTGTAATGGAATGAAATAAGTAAAAAATATGGGAAATTCAAAAATACGTAGAATTGAATGCACTCCTTTATAACCAAAAGTCTAAGGAAAAAAAAATTTTAGGGAAGCCTTTCAAATAATTGAAAATAAAAATGCAGCATACCAAAGCTTATGGAATGCCACTAAAGAATCATTTATAGAGAAATTTGTAGCAGTAAACACCTAATTAAGATAAAAAGATCTCAAGTCAGTGATCTTCCACCTTAAAACATGTTAAAAGAAAAAACTAACCCTAACCCCCCAACCAAAGTGGGGGAGGGTGGGAACTTAGATCAAAACTATAGTAATCAAAAATGTACCAGCACAAAGTAGACACAGATCAATGGAACAGGATAGAAAGCCCAGAAATAAACCCACACATTTATTGTCAATTAATCTATGATAAAGGAGGCAAGAACATACAATGGAGAAAAGACAGTCTCTTCAGTAAATGGTGCTGGGAAAATTAGCTACATGCAAAAGAATCAAAATGGACTACTTTCACCATATAAAGAAATAAACTCAAAATGGGTTAAAGACAAATATAAGACCTGAAACCACAAAACTCCTAGTAGGAAACATAGGAATTATACTTTTTGATGTCAGTCTTAGCAGTATTGTTCTGGAGACAACTCCTCAGTTAAGGGAAACAAAAGCAAAAAACAACTATATTTTGCACAGTGAGGAAAGAAGTTTCAATTAAATGAAAAGGCAGCCTGCTGAAGGGTAGAACATATTTGCAAATGATATATCCGATAAGGGGTTAATAGTTAAAATATACAAAGAACTCAACATCAAAAAAACAAGCCTCCCTATTTTAAAAATGGGCAGAGAATCTAAATAGTAATTTTCCAAAGAAGATATCCAGATGGCCAACATCACTAATCATCAAGGAGATGAAAATAAAAACCACAATGAAATATTACCTCACACTTGCTACAATGGCTATTATCAAAAAGACAACAAATAAGTATTGGTGAGAATGTGGAGAAAAGGGAACCTTCGTGCACTCTCCTTGGGAATGTAAATTGGAACAGCCGCTATGGAAAACATGGAGTTTCCTCAAAAAATTAAAAAACAGAACTACCATACGATCCAGCAGTTCCACTTCTGGGTATTTTTCTGAAGAAAACAAAAACATTAATTTGAAAAGATACATGCACCCCTATGGTCACTGCAGCATGACTTACAGCAGCCAAGATATGGAAGCAACTGAGGTGTCCAAAAATAGATGAATGGCTCAAGAAGTGGTGTATATATGTAATGGGATATTATTCAGGCATAACTCTTACCATTTGCGACAACATAGCTCGACCTAGAGGGTATTCTACCAAGTGAAATAAGGCAGACAGAGAAGGATAAATACCATATGATTTCACTTACATGTGGCATCCAAAAAACAAAGCAAATATAAAACAGAAACAGACTCATAGATACAAAGAACAAACTAGTGGTTGCCAGAGGGGGGGAGGAGGAGGGATGAGTGAAATAGGTGACTGAGATTAAGTACAAACCTCCAGTTATAAAAAAAAAGTCTTGGGATGTAATGCACAGCATAGAGAATACAGTCAATAATATTATAATAACTTTGTATGGTGACAGTAGCTGGAGTTATTATGGTGGTCATTTT